TAAATTGACCGTTTTCTTGACATTGGGAGACCTTAGCAGGACGGACTGCGTGAGCCCTGGCTATACTTAAGGCTTCTACATATTTTAAGTGGGACTCTCCTGGAGAGGATGAAGTAGGAACAATACAATGGGACACATTACAGATATAACATGTACACACACAAATCACAATAGCATGATGTTCGTGTCTCAGAGAGGCTGCAGGATCCAAGTAAGTTCAGTAGAACTTCTGGTTGCAATTCTGTTGACCATGTCGTAGCTCAGTTGATTAAGGCAGCGTCTGGGATGCTATCAGCCGTAGGTTCGAATCCTCGTCACGGCCCTTGTGGATTTGTTCTGATATAACATGTATTAAAATACATACTTAATTACACACAGATCACACTAACGTGATGCATCAAATGAACAAATCCACAAGGGCCGTGACAAGGATTTGAACCTGCGTCCGGGAGCATCCCAGACACTGCCTTAATTGACTGAGCTACGACAGGGTTGAAAAAAAAAAAAGAGTTGAAACCGAAGTTCTACTGAACTTACTGGATCCCATAGCCTCTCCGAGGCACAAACCAGGATTTTACACAACTCCCCCATGCACCCGAGCTATGTCAATAGGCCGTTCTCCCTGTCGTAGCTCAGTCGATTAAGGCAGTGTCTGGGATGCTCCCGGACGCAGGTTCGAATCCTCGTCACACGGCCCTTGTGGATTTGTACATACTTAATATCTCGTAACAAAGTTATTTAATTATTTAGAATGTCACCATAAGACCTAGATGTGTCAGTTTATCTGGATAGTGAGGGTCTTCTTGTAATGTGTTTTAAAAAGTGGTTTATTTAACAGGAGAAAATGTTCAAGGTTCAATACTTGAAATTATTAATAAATTGTTTACTGCTATTAATTGTATAATTAATAGCAGTAAATAGGTACCTGGGAGTTAGACAGCTGCTACGGGCTGCTTCCTGGGGGTGTGTAACAAAAAGGAGGCCTGGCCGAGGACCGGGCCGTGGGGACGCTAAGCCCCGAAACCATCTCAAGATAACCTCAAGAAGGAAACATGCTCCTGCCACTTTCCCCCATCCTCCCTCACTCTCCCAAGTAGTGAGGGGAGACTGTTTACCACCATCCTCCCTCACTCTCCCAAGTAGTGAGGGGAGACTGTTTACCACCATCAAAGTTGCAGGATTGTTGTGCAAGATTCAGCTACTTGGAACAAAACGTTTCAAGTAGCACGGGCTATAGTGATCCCGGAGTGGGCTTACCTGGCACAGGAGCGGGGCTGTAACTATAGTTGCAGGATAATCACAAGATGCTAAATACCACCAAGGATGCCAATACGAGAACAAAAGCATATAAGGTGAGCATCGAATTGTGCAAAAACCTGGTCTGTCTCAGACTGCAGAATCCGTGGTAGGTCAACTTGATTTCCCAGTTGCAATTCTTATATCCATGTCGTAGCTCAGTCGATTAGGGCGCGTCTGGGATCTCTCGGACGTAGGTTCGAACCCTCGTCACGGCCCTTGTGGATTTGTTCAAAGGTACCAGATTCGCAAAGGATTCTATCGAGAGAGAAATTACTGCGAGGGATTGGGGAAGCAAGTAACCAGTCCTTAGACCAAGTTCATTCCATCCAGAAGTCGACCCCACGGACGCATTTATCAATGTTAATATGATAAATGTGATATGATAAATATGATATAAAATAATATGATAAATGGTTCAGTCAAAACAAGAATTTTCTCAAATATAAATTAATATTATATATTATCATATTGTGTATATTTAGGCATTAGTTAGGTTAGGAGATTAGGTTCTGTTGGAGATTATTTGTATTTGTAGTATGCGGGTGAAGCACTTACAGCGTTGTGGTTCGAAAAGTCATCAGTGAAGCACTTGTTCCGTTAGTGTTCGGATGTCATCAGTTGCGAGTCGTGTGTAAAGATTTACATTCATAAACGGGGTTTGGTGGGTGCATGGAATCACTTCTGGCCTTTGTGTATGAAGATGGGCTGGAAACCCTAATTCAGCTTCAGACGAAGCCTCAGGAACCCTAGAGGATTCAGTTGAATCCCAGGTAGCCATTCTTGACCAAGTTGTGTAAGCCGTTTGCTTGAGAGTACTCATAGCATAAGTTCAAGTCCTCCTCATAGCTACTACCAGTTTTCTCATCGCTATATTACATTAATGTGATTACACACAGAGATCACACTAATGTGATGCATCAAAAGAACAAAGTAGTTGTGTAAAACCCTGGTTTGTGCCTCGGAGAGGCTACGGGATCCAGTAAGTTCAGTAGACCTTCGGTTTCAACTCTCTTAACCCTGTCGTAGCTCAGTCGATTAAGGCAGTGTCTGGGATGCTCCCGGACGCAGGTTCGAATCCTCGTCACAGCCCTTGTGGATTTGTTCATTTTACATTAATGTGATGTCTCTGTGCATGGCTTGAGAGGAGCTATATACAGTACAGCTACAATGATGGTAAAGCATGTACACTGATGGTGTTGCAGGCAGGAAATGTTCAACAAATCAGACTTCTGTCTACAGTGCTACTGAATATCTAGCATTTGACTAAGGCTTTTTGGTCACTTAACTAACCAACAAACAATAGCAGGAAGATGATGCGTCACAATAACGTGGCTGAAAAATATTGACAAAACCACACACTAGAAAGTGAAGAAACGACGACGTTTTGGTCTGTCCTGGACCTTTATCAAGTCTTCTCCTCACCCCTCTCTCGCCTTTGTTTCCTTCCTCTCTTCACAATCGACTTAATTGTGTCCAAGTAGTCCACTGTGTTGTAGTCCAGGACGAACTGAAGCGTCGTCGTCTCTTCACTTTCTAGTGTGCTTTGGTCAACAATAGCAAGAATACTATAGAGCAATTCTCAACTTTTTTTTTTTGGCTTGGGGTAAACCTTTAACTATTTTGTAAAATCTTGGGAGAACCCTTACCTTGCTGACCCATTAGGTTCAATGAGTAAAGTACAAATCAGAAATGTTAAACATTACGATAATTGATAATTAACAACACATACTTTGATTAAAATATTACACGTGCCTGCTTAAATAACTATCACACAAATATCTAACCTGTTTGATGGGGTTCTGGGAGTTGTTCTACTCCCCTACTGACTTGAGAGTTTGGTCTACCAGGCTGTTGCTTGGAGCTGCCTGCAGGCCCACATATCCACTACAGCCCATTTGGTCCAGCACTTTTTAGAAAACAATCTAGTTTTCTATTGAAGTTGTGCACGGTTGTTCCCACAATATTTTATACTCGTTGAGAGAATGTTGAACAACCGAGCAAAACTTTCAAAATGCTGTTTTATCAACAGGTCACATTAGAACCTTAAATCATAATTTTTGCTCCTCACTTACAAAAAAAGGTTGAAACATTCCACCATTTTCCCCAAAGCTTTTGCAACTGTCCACAGAACCCTGGCTGTGAACCAATGCTACAGAGCACTACTGTATTAATCTGCTTCCACAAAACAATATAGCATTTATAAACTTATTACCCAACAGTTAACTTGCAGTCAATCCCACAACTTGTGACAATGGGTTACATTATATTGCTTAAGAAAGGTGAGGATTAAAAGTCTCAAGAACAATGTACACGATATATATTTCACTTTATCAGGTTGAAAACAAATAGTAAAGCTTTATCCAGTATTATATAGCCGCTAATATTCTGATGGATTACTAGCCAATTTAATATTAAAATGACCCTAGAGTTAACCAAGTAACAATGCATACAGGCTATCACATTTAAAACAAATCCTTACATACTTCAATCTAAAATCTCTGGGGCTAATTTTTAGTCTATATCCTTACATGGTAAAGAGTGGCATTAAAGTCAGTAGGCAACAGTAATGTGTAAGGTACTTTATAATCGTCGGCAAACTGCAGTATTATGAAGCGTTGCATTGCAACATTCACCATTTAGAGAGGAGCAGTTTGTTGTGGAGACGGGTGGTGGTGGAAGTGGTCAGAAGGAAGGCTCCTAAAGAGTGACGGTGAATACTGAATACCATTCACAGTGGAGCTTCTGCTGTCCTTAATTGGCTAAGACATCCTTGGCCTTACTTGTGGAGGGGGTTATGTAATGTTAGCTTTATATCAACGGTCTCTAGCATTACATAATATATACACAACAAGGTATGTACACATTTTGCCCCCTTCTGCTAGGCAAAAGTAAGCCTTATCCCAGGGAGCCGGTCGGCCGAGCGGACAGCACGCTGGACACGTGATCCTGTGGTCCCGGGTTCGATCCCGGGCGCCGGCGAGAAACAATGGGCAGTTTCTTTCACCCTATGCCCCTGTTACCTAGCAGTAAAATAGTTACCTGGGAGTTAGTCAGCTGTTACGGGCTGCTTCCTGGGGGTGGAGGCCTGGTCGAGGACCGGGCCGCGGGGACACTAAAGCCCCGAAATCATCTCAAGATAACCTCTCAAGATAGACGGATCCCCCCCTTTTTATAAAGCAATTAGTTGACAGCAGAGCAGAAATCAAGTTGACAATTAGCACACAACACCACATCAAACTTCAGGCATTACCAGGATGCAACATTGAAAGATGTACACAAGATGGGGAAAACAATTTCCAACAAATTCCTCAAACTCTTTAAGTCATACTTTTAGAATTGACAGAAAGTGGCAAACCCTGGCCATTAACACTGTAACAGCTGGTTGTGGCACTGCTGCAGCAAGTACTGGTTAAGTGCACGGCCTCAGGATTTGCGACACTCCCAGCATCAAGACCAACTAGCGGGACTTACGTTCTCGACCCTTTGAAACGCTTCCTTCTGCTACCCGAACACATGCCTCTTGGCTCCCACAATGAGCAACTTGTGCGCAGTAACCTTACACGGGTAACAAACTACAAGCTACTGAAAGGTACAAAATATTTCTTATGAGCTCAAATTAACTGATCAATGATTCATCAAGTTTTGAAGCCCAGTAAAAACTTTAAAGTATGCCCTTTAATGCATATCTTACAAATGTTATGAAATGGTACAATGAGGATGGATAGCGGAATTTGTCTCTCTTAAAATAAAAAATAAACGACTTGAATGTTAGTAATAGCTATATTCCATAATTTTGTGCTAGAAAAAATAGACTAGTTTAACTTTGGAAAATTCATGGATATTCAGTATTTTCTGAATCACGAGAGACTAAGAAGTAACAAAATATGGCCAACATGAGTTATGCCGACATCACATTCTTGCAGATCCAATATTTTTATAAACAACGTGTTGTACTTCTAGCCACATTCAGCAAACATGTCTGAATAATATGACAAGTGCTCTAAAGTAACAAGTTACCTCGAGCACATTTCCAACACTTAAGACTTTATGGGAAATTCCTTTTCAAGAGCAAGTCTATACAAACCCCGATCATTGTGTGCAAAACAATGAGTTCGTGTGTGGCACCAGCCTTTTTCCCACCCTTCAATTCAAAATTTCTATTGACAAGATATGCATGTTTCCTCCAGAAGTCCCTTAGTCTGTCAGCCAAACAAAAACACAACAGCATTCTCTACACAACTAAGAAATTATGCTTTGGTCACTTAGAGCCATCGACTCTCTCCTGGCAGTTCCCTCGCTGATGGCAATAAGTACACCTAACCCTCGCTGATGGCAATAAGTATACCTAACCCTCGCTGATGGCAATAAGTACACCTAACCCTCGCTGATGGCAATAAGTACACCTAACCCTCGCTGATGGCAATAAGTACACCTAACCCTCGCTGATGGCAATAAGTACACCTAAAAGTCCCTAGGAATGATTAATTGCTGCATGCCTTGACAATAGAACAAAACCAAATTTACACCTGAGAGGATGAAGGCGTAACATCCAAACATTCTTTATCTAGTCTTAATATCAAAGAACATTCAACCTTATAAGAGGCAACATGGCTTACGACTCCCGGGCCTCTTGCCCTGATTTTTTTCCGGCGACTTTCGGTTGATCTGCCGAACGAGATCGTAGAAGATCTCGTTGACGTTGATCTTGGCCTTGGCCGAAGACTCTAGGAAAGCGCAGGAGAAAGATTTTGCCAAGTTCAGGCCCTGATCTTTGCCCACTACACGTTCATCTTCCAAGTCACACTTGTTGCCAACCAGAATCATTGGAACATCGTCGGTATCCTGAAAGAGAGATAGCAGCGATGAAGACAATTGTGTTAAACGTGAAAGATACAGCGAATTGTCATGTGCCATACTGAATATTTGTAGCCTGCTTTTTCTATACTGCTTCCCTATTGTTGTCAGGTTCATGAATTCCTCACCCTGTCTCTGCTTGATGGGGTTCTGGGAGTTCTTCTACTCCCCAAGCCCGGCTCAAGGCCAGGCTTGACTTGTGAGAGTTTGGTCCACCAGGCTGTTGTCCAAACTCTCACAAGCCTGGCCTCGGGCCGGGCTTGGGGAGTAGCCCGGCCCAGGAGTGAGACCCTAGGCAATCATAGAAAGTGGGTCACAATCTAGTTACTCTCATCGATTGAAAATGGATAAAACACTTAGCAAGCCAACCTCTTGAATCCATGACCACCGAGTGTCCTAATGTAAACACGTGATCCACACAATCCACCTTGTTCTCCGCTGACCAAATTTTGTCGTTTCTAATACTCCTTACAATTATCTTGAATTTGCTGAATATACCTTGATGACTGATTGCCTGCATTCCAGTTTCTGCTTGGTCTCACTCTTCCATAGACATTGTCTGCAACTTTACCCTACACTCGTATCAACCAAATTAGTCATGTATACAACTGCAGTTTTTTGTCACTTTCACCTGTCAGCGTTTCAACTTATTGCCCGCCTACTACTAATTTGGTCTTCCAGAGTAAACACGGTTAGTTGTCTTTGCATTCACAATTCAATAGTTTCCCTACTTATCCTTCCTAGCTTTACACACACAAAACTTATTTTTTTTTTATTTTTGTATTGAACTTTTCACTGTTCTGCTAAACTAAACTTTTAACATTCTTATATATATATACATATATATAAAAAGAAAATGTATACTGTTATCACCGTGGTGATAACATGGTGTAGAAGTTAAGGCGCTCGCCTAACGTTTTGCGAGCGCTTTGTCATGGGTTGGTATCGTGGCCCAGGGAGGATTTACTGGGTGCAAATCCTTAACTGTAGCCTCTATTTAACTTGACAGTAAAATGGGTACTTGAACGATTTTTCGCGGGGTCGTATTCCAGGGAATATAGGATTAAGGACTTGCCCGAAACGCTACGCGTACTAGTGGCTCTACAAGAATGTAAGAATTCTTGTATACATAAATAAAAAATAAATCACCCTTTTTAGACAAAATTTAACAATCATAAAAATATTATAAATTTAGCAACAATACTGTGACGTGTGTGTACCTTCACTCTAAGAATCTGTTCTCGAAGGTCTTGTAGATCATTGAAGGTGCTCTGTGCAGTGATGCTATACACCAAAACAAAGCCCTGGCCGTTCTTCATGTAAAGATCACGCATTGCAGTAAATTGTTCCTGGAAGAAACAGACAAAAATATTAAACACAACAGATGTTAACAATTAGCAAGTTGCATACAAGTACACCACAAGTCTAATGACCAGACCACACACTAGAAGGTGAAGGGACCAAAATGTGGTCGTCCCTTCACCTTCTAGTGTGTGGTCTGGTCAACAGGTATAATCATAGTTACTCAGAGACCATACCAATTGTTACCCACCAATGAGCTTTAACATATTAGATTGTGGTGAGCTCCTGCAAGTATAGAAAAAAGGCAAATGTTCAAATGGTAAAGAAAGAGGACTTGCAAGAAGCATTACCATATAAACCTACAATATTTATAAATATATATAAAGAAATGCAACGTGCCAGTAACACAGGCACTCGGTAGTGTGGAGGAAGAGCGTGGACTCGAGGGAGATACCAGGTGTGCTTAAATCAGCAGACATAGCCCCTCTACACAAGGGTGGGAGGAAAACATTGGCTAAGAATTATATTCAATTATTAAATTGAGTATTAAATTACCCGACCTTAACCTAATCGAGGGCCCTCAAATATAAAACGTGACGGCAACTCAATTCTGCGAGCCACTATGATTTACAGTACAGTGGTACCTCCATTTATGAATTTAATCCATTCCCAGAAACGGGTCGTAACTCACAAAATTTGTAAGTATGGGGCATTCATAAGTCGAGGCTTCACTGTACATTATATTTTGGCCATTGTGGATTTATGTCAAAATGTAATGTACTACTCAAGAGGACAGGTTGGCATTTTACTTCTTCTATGGTGACTTATATTCAATCTTCAGTTACTTCTTGAGGTCATCTTGAGATATTGTTTCTCGCCGGCGCCAGGGATCGAACCCGGGATCACAAGTCCAGCGTGCTGTCCGCTCGGCTGACCGGCTCCCTGCACCACAATGATGTATTTGTGACTTCAGACTTCAATGACTTCAGACTGGCTGTTGTCACCTGTTGTCACCTTTCATTCCTTCCCAAGGAACGAGTCCCCAAACATGGTACACATTAAAAAAAAAAAAAAAAAGATGAATTATCACGAAAGCGAAGACATAGTACTGTACTCTCAGGGATCTTTAGTCCTATGGTACTTACTGTTCCAGCAGTGTCGAGGATTTCCAGCATACACTGCTGTCCATCCACCTCGACTTGTTTCCGGTAGGAGTCTTCAATTGTTGGATCATATTTCTCGACAAAAATGCCTTGAACAAACTGGACTGTCAGAGCAGATTTGCCAACACCACCCGATCCCAACACCACTATCTTGTACTCGCGCATCCTCGACACTAGGCAAGGAAGAAAATCATAGCATAAGAATTTTGTGGTAAATAGTAATGTGCTGCCTTAAAGTTAATTATATTTATATACTATAAAAGACGTCACTAAATACTGTGCAGCAACGTCACACATGGAAACCTCGTACTGCTTCCCATAGACTAAAGTAATCGTCTAATAGCAATGCAGTAATTTTTAAGTGGGTACCGTTTAGTTGTCACAATGTACAATTGAACTCTTTAAACAGAGAGAGATCCGATGTTAATGCTCATAAGTCTTATATATACCTATAGTACATAATCTAGTAGCACAAGTCCCCAAAATCATATATTATTCCTTCACTGGTCACACACACTTATTGAAACTTTCTACCACCCTAAATATTCAAAATGGTTGTGATCTAAACTCCAGTATTAATGCTACCTATTTTCAAGAAATTTGGAATCAAGAAATCTAATTGCAAAAGCAGAAACTAAATATTCAACAGACAAAAGTGATGAAATATGAACCCAAAGATTATTGTAGTGTGCTCAGTTAATAGCCCGCGGACACCTCCAAGCAACAGCCTGTAGGACCATTACACACAGAAATCACAATAACGTGATGCATCAAATGTAAGGGCGAAGAGGGAGAACGGCCTATTGACATAGCTCGAGTGCAGGGGGAGTTGTGTAAAACCCTGGTTTGTGCCTCGGAGAGGCTGCAGGATCCAGTAAGTTCAGTAGAACTTCGGTTTCAACTCTTTTTACCATGTAGCTCAGTCGTTTAAAGGCAGTGTCTGGGATGCTTTTGGACGCAGGTTCGAATCCTCGTCACGGCCCTTGTGGATTTGTTCTGTTGGACCATGTTATCACCTGTGGAGCCTGGAGTCAGGCCAAGCTCAGGAACAACAACTCTGGAAACCCCCTTTAGGTATGCTTCAGGTAATAGTGCTAAAACTATTATCTTAATGTAGCCTTTTTTATTTACCTTTACCTAGTAACAACAAATCCCTTGTCTATCAAGGATTGCTCAATAGTGCTGCTGTAATACTTTTTAATGCCAATAGTTACTCTAAAGATTTTACAAGTGCCGTTATTTTTCACTAAACTGAGTACTGTCCAATGTATGATTACACTTCACTTCTGGGAAGCTCAACCTTCTCTCTTGTGGACCAGTCTGTCAAGGAAAGTACTAGTAATGTACAGCCATTTCCAACCACTGGCAGGGAACAATGATGCCAGCCCATTGCCACTTTATTGCCACTCGATACACTATATTAAATTGCCAAAAATGAAACTTTCATACAGTACTGTAGTATACTTTATCAAATATTCATGTTTAATGGCAATGGGGTTTAACACTAAGAACTTATTAAATTTTGACTACATCACACAAACAGTTGTATGACAATGGTCATTAATATACATACAGTAATTAGTACAGAACAAGCAAAATGGCAAGGAAGGGGGAACCATAAGCAAATATCATGGGATGCAAATTGGCAAAAATAGGACAAGTGTGTAAAACAAAACAAAACAATCACAAAAGCCAAAACGATCTTCTTCAAATTCTCACAAATTATCAAAAGTCTCGGTCAGGAAATAAGCGAGGATTTTTTTATTATTCCGTCTCACGTTATTTAACCGTGCTCGTCTGTATGTACGAACAACTTGATCTGACTAAGACAAGCTATGATGCTATTCAACCAATCCTTCCTGCCTTGCTCAACCACCTCATTGTTAAATGAGCTGCCTGTCACGTTTTAATTGGTTACAGGACATCATTCCAGGGTGTCTTTCAAGTACACAAACACACCCTTACACACATCTTAGACAAACTCATCAATTAACTTGATAAATTACTTGATAAAAGCAGACTTACACACATATAGTGTACTGGACAACCTAGTCTTAACATTGTGTTGCACATCCACATGCCGTTTTCAAATTTAAATACAAAATGCAATATTTTTTAGCTTTGATAGTGAGCCGTATTACATTTTTAAACAAATGAATCTACAAACCCTGCTATTTTACCAATACAGGCAAAGTAAGTAAGTAAGTAATTATCAAAAGAAGGCACCAAACCGGGAAGGCTATGTAGCACCATCAAATACGCAAAATAATCAGAGGGCGCTAAATATCACCAAGGATGCCAATACGAGAACAAAAACGCATAAGGCGAACGATATCAAAAGTATCCGAGTCACCAAGAATTCTATCGAGGGACAGGTGACCGCGAGGGGCGGTCGGAAAGCAAGACACACGCTCGTCCTGGAAGTCAGGACATTCAAGAAGGACATGCACGACCGTAAGAGGGACAATGCAACTAGGACAATAAGGAGCAGGGCGGCGCTCCATCAAGTGACCATGGGTTAAGCGAGTATGGCCAATACGCAACCTCGCTAGAGCTGTTTCCCACCGCCGGTTACGGTGGAAGGAGGACGGCCACGAGGAAACACAACATTTAAGAGTACGTAGCTTGTTACCAGTAACAGACAACCAAGAAGCCTGCCAACGGGTAAGGACTGAGGAATGGATAACCGGGTAAAAGTCGGAATACGGAATGCCTTTACGAGAGATGGGACAAGAGCGGACAGCTTCCTTAGCGGCAGCATCCGCACGCTCATTTAAAGACACGCCAATATGGCTGGGAACCCAACAAAACTCAACCGACTTAAATTTACTGTGAACGAGAAACAGCCAATGCTGGATCTCGACAACTACCGGATGAACTGGATTAAAGCACCCGAGAGCCATGAGGGCACTACGAGAGTCAACAACAACCACAAAGGAAGACTGACAACGAGAAAGCAGGAGACGAAGAGCATAGAGAATAGCATAAAGTTCCGCTGTAAAGATGCTAGTCTCCGGAGGCAAGCGACACATATAAGTGCGATCAGGAAAAACAACAGAGTAGCCAACACCGTCCGCTGACTTAGACCCATCGGTGAAGACAGAAACGGAGCGGGAGTGAGAAGAAAAGTGCTCGAGGAAAAGGCGTTTGAGAACTGTAGGAGGGGTAAAAGCTTTAGTGATGCGAGTCAAGGATGTACAAAACCGCGGAAGAGGGACCCTCCACGGGGGCAAAGAAGGAACAACACGAGGAGAAACATCAGAAATACGAACGGAAAGAGAATCCTGCAGGCGAGATAACCGGACAGAAAGAGGGAGGTGGTGAAGAGGAACAGGAACCGCAGGAGGGGTAAAAGTTAAAGCACGACAGAGACGAGAGGAAGGATGTTGCAAGGACCGCGCAAGATACCGAAGACAGTAGCGATCACGGCGGTCCTGGAGAGACAGGAAGCCAGTGTCAACATACAAGCTAAGGACGGGAGTCGAACGAAAGGCACCAGAACTGAGGCGCAACCCAGTATGGTGCAAAGCATCAAGACGGCGAAGAGTAGAAGGAGAAGCAGACGAGTAAGCAGGGCAACCATAATCGAGCTTAGACAGGACGAGAGAGGAATGTAAAGCAAGGAGAGTGCGCCTATCTGCCCCCCAAGAAGTATGGGACAAGACCCGAAGGAGGGTAAGGGACTTAGAGCACTCAACACGGAGGTAAGAGATATGGGGAGACCAAGACAAACGAGTGTCAAGGAATAACCCCAAAAGCTTCGCGGAATCTTTGTATTCAAGGGGATGACCATAAAGTGACAAAGAGGGACGAAGAACAACCCGTTTCCGCGTAAAAGTCATGGCACAAGTCTTAGAAGTAGAGAACTTGAAGCCATGACCTGTGGCCCAAGACGACACGGCATCAATCGCAAGTTGAAGCCGGCGTTGAAGGAGAGGCGAATCATCACCCTGACAACAAAGGGTAAGATCATCGACATAGAGAGCGGAGAAGACACCAGAAGGAAGAGAGGAAAGAAGACCATTGAGGGCAACCAGAAAAAGAGTAGTGCTCAGAACACTACCCTGGGGCACACCTTCGTATTGCTGAAAAGGGGGAGAGAGAGCGGTACCAAGGCGCACCCGAAAGGAACGACGAGAGAGGAAGCTGCGGAGAAAGAGAGGGAGATGACCACGAAGGCCAAAAGAATGAAGTTGAGATAGGATATGATAACGCCAAGTGGTGTCGTAAGCCTTTTCTAGGTCAAAAAGGACGGCAACAACGGAGGTCTTCGCAGCAAAAGCAGTACGTATATAGACCTCCAAGTTCACCAGGACATCTGTCGTGCTGCGGCACTTGCGGAAACCAAATTGAGAAGGGGAGAGGAGGTGATGGTGTTCCAGGAACCACATCAGACGAACGTTAACCATACGTTCAAAGAGTTTGCAGACACAACTTGTGAGAGCAATAGGGCGAAAGTCCTTAGGGGAAGTACCCAGAGACCCTGGTTTGCGAACAGGGAGGACAACGGCATCGAGCCAGTCCTCAGGGACTGACGACGACTCCCAGATCCGATTATACAGACTCAGTAAATACTGAGACGTGCTCGGAGGGAGATGGCGAAGCATCTCATAATGAATACCATCGGAGCCCGCCGCCGTAGAACCGCAGAGGGCCAGGGCAGAACGAAGTTCAGAGAGAGAGAAGGGATCATTATAGGGAAGCTGAAGATGAGTGCAGAAATCTAAAGGACGAGACTCAAGGACAGGTTTACGAAGAAGGAAAGATTGGGGAAGATGAAGACCAGAGCTAACAGAAGAAAAGTGGGAACCCAGTTCGGAAGCGACCTGCAACGGGTCCGCCACAAGAGTATCATGGAGGTGAAGGACCGGTGAAACATCGGGAACGAACTTACCCGCTATCTTGCGGATACGCTTCCAGATCTGGGCCAGAGGGGTTTCGGACGTAATTGTCGAGACATAAGAAGCCCAACATTCACGTTTAGCCATACGGATGGCCCTACGGGCCACCGCACTCGCTTTCCGAAAGAAAAGAAAAGAATCGGTCGTCTGCCTACGGCGGTGCTTCTTCCAGGCTGCACGCTTACAGCGGACAGCCCGAGCACAGTCCGCATTCCACCAGGGAACGCACTTCCGTGGACCCCGAGAGGAAGAGCGAGGAATAGAGCGGAGGG